TGCTCTTATGTCACAAACATCATCTACACAAAATTAGAGAACATGACCGACAATGTCACGCATTATTTGAAAACACACCACCTTTATTTTCCTCATTGCTGGGACAAAAGAAGTTCATTTGAGCTCACAGTTTGTGAAGGCTTCAGTCCAGTTGGCTGACCCCAAGGCGGGGCCATATGACAGAGGGGCACCAGAGGAGAAATAGTCCATGGCAGGGCAGGCAGGAAGCAGTGAGCCTCCCTTTCCCCCCCCCTTTTTTTTTTTCCGGAACCAGGAATTGAACTCAGGCCCTTGTGCTTGCCAGGGAAGCACTTATTCCACTGAGTATCTCTCCGGCCCACCCTTTTCCTTTTAGCTCACCCACACTACAAGCCCGTGGGGTGGGGCCACCCATACCCACGTTGGGTTTTCCCAATATCCACACCCACAACAATGCTCAACCAATCAGTGAACTGATTTAGTTATTATACCCTTAATCAATATTCACATACCCTAAACGAAGCTACCTCCAAAAATCCCCAGCTGTGAACACACAAAGACATGGGGCTGGGGAAGTGGACATTTAGATATAAGCCACAGCACACACATATAAGAGATACACAATTTGCACAGAAAAACCAGCAGTAGTGTCAAAGTTGGAGTTACAGGTGAGGAAAAGGAGACAGAAGGGGGGGATGACAGAGCTGCACTCTGATTTCCCTCTTAAACTGGCAAGGAGTGAAGGGCCATCGCATTCCTTGCATCTTTCAGCACACACGCACACCTCAGGTATCACCTAAGAATAATACCAGCTGGGCACGGAGGTGCATGCGCTCCATGCCAGCATTTGGGAAGCTGAGGCAAGAGGATTACTACAAAGTCAGCCCAGCCTGGGCTATCCCAGTCTCAAAAAAACAATAAAGAAACATGGTTAGCAGGGATGGCCTCTATGAGAGGACGTGTGAGCTGACCCGTGAAGAGAGAGAGGGTCATTCCAAGCAGACAGGACAGTGGCTGGAAAGAGCTCAAGTGGTGACAGAGTGGAGATAAGGCCAGCAGGGCTGAGGGGTGGCAAAGGGAGGAAACTGGAGACCAGGCCTGAGAGGTAAGCCAAGGCTACCGAGCAGGGCCTCCAAAACGCAGTGAAGATTTCAGCTTTCCTCCTATATAGGATAAGCCCTGAAAAAGCAGCGTAATGACGATCTAGTCTCCAAGAAGACTGTTTAGCTAGCTGCATGACACCATCACACACATAATGCTTGGGCTGAGACTTTTCAGGTGGTGTAAAAGGCTGGAGGTGAGGATAAATGGTTGGGATTTCTATAATGCAAAAGGAAAACTACAAAGTTACAGTGAGTGATTTTTTTGGGGGGGAGTAGGTGTATAGTTGCACTAGGGTCCTTACTATGAGTTCAGGCTGGCCTTGAACTCACCAAGATCCTTCTGCCTCAGCCTCCCTACTATAGGTTTTGTTTTATAAAGACAGGGTCTATGTAGTTTAGGCTGACCTTGAAATTAGTTTGAAGTCGGCCTCAAACTCACCAAGAGCCTACTGCCTTAGCCTGCTGAATGCTGGGACAGCAGGTACGCACTACACCTGGCTACAGTGAATAAATGCTTAAATGTCTAAAAAACATACCATGACAGCACCGGCTATGGGGACACATGCCTGTAATCCCAGCACTTGGGAGACTGAGAAAGGAGGACTGACACAAGTTTAAGGCCAGCCTGGGCTACATAGTAAGTTCATGGCCAGTCTCAAGTACAGAGCAAGATCTTGTTAAAAAAA